ACTGTCCAATATACATTCTTAGGTTTCTAGAATAGTTACCCATCGGAAATTTCAATCTCCCTACATATGTTCAAATACAATTTCGTTATATTCATCCTGAAATTAGTCCGAATATTCTTTAAATAATTTTAAATGTTATAATTTCGTGACGAAATTTGTTATTGTTTACTGTAATTTATATAATTAACAGTTATTAATTTTTATATTGTGTCGCTTTAATGTAGGGTAATGTTAAGAGTGAATATGTAGTTTTTGGAAGTTCACTACTATACCCAATAAACTAGGAAAGTGAGATTATAAAGCGTCATGTTTCTAAGTTTTGGTTACTTTAATCTTATTCTCTTCAAAATCTCCCCTATCTGTACTAGCCAATTTCCCTTTGAATTCCACAGAAACCGGTTTTCTAAGATGCCTCGCCGTTATATAATTCGCTAGAATCGCGTAAACTGATGACTTTTTAAATCCAGTTCATCAACAATCATCAAAACCATTTACTTAAAATTATAATCGACCACCCATGTTGAATACCGTCACCACTAGAGAAAACCAACATATCCCCTAGTATCGCCCATCGAGTTTTTACGGTTATCTATAGAACCCTTAGTCCATTTGAAAATACCTTGTCATAAAAATTTCCTGAAAGTTTTACCCAAGTATTTGTAACACAGAAAAAAACCAATTAAATACATACTTTTTGAATCAACAGTGTTGTTTCATTACACTATAGAGAATTTACAAATTAAATTGATCCTTAAAAAAAAATATTTGCTTACTTATAAAGTTAGTTGTTTAAACAACTACATAGATACAATTAAACGAACGTACACACACACCCAGATTTTTCTAATGACATACATATGTTTGATAAGCATCCTCCAGAACATTTTCCCCTCCTTTCAACTTGTCATCAAAATAATTACATTTATAGTATGAAATTTATATTTTAATACAAATTCGGAAAAAAATGGAGAAAAAGAAAATCGTAAGATAACAACATCTTATCTGTCTATACACAATACACTATAAAGTAATCAGAAAAAATAAACCACTTTTCACTTTCATACTTCGATACTTAGTTAATACATATTTGTGTTGAAATACTTTAATTTATGACTAGTTACTGAATAATAATAATAATAATAATAATAATAATAATAATAATAATAATAATAATAGTAAAGTTGATAGTAATGAAGTAAAAAATCTGTAAAATTATTTGTAAACAAACTACACGCAACTAGCAAATGTGATGACAAATCAATTGAAAATAATTTATTTCATTTGTGACATCTCTCTCCCTCTCTCGGTCTTTATCATATCATATATCATTCAATATTTCAATTTATTTGGCATTCTTTATGTGCGTGTTTTATTACCTATTTTGACATGATGATGATGATGATATGAAACTATGGAGTAAAGTAAGTTTTATTTAAAGAAAACGTTCTATTTTAAGAAAGAAACATACATATATTTTCTTTTAGTTAGAAAACAAATCAAATGAACTTGTCAACTTGAGTATACACGCATAAAATTAGTACACATAGATGAATGTACAGTAACAACAAAATTATCTAGATAGTCTTTTGAAAACCAGAAGAAAAGGTGGGAATATGAATTGTTTTTTTTTACATTGAAGTAAATAATCATTACTCTAGTTAGAAATTATTCAGTTACATATACATTACTGGGTCTTCTTTTATTTAAGAGATGAATCTCACTTTGATAATCAGTTGTTTGTTTCCTATTTTGTTCTACAAGTTTCTTTGATTATTTAAACCAAATGAGTACACATATATTATTGTAGAACTGATGACCGATAATGATGAGAAGCATTCGCGTAGACAGATAGCAGTAGTTAAATTTTCTGCTTTTACTCTGTTGTCTTCAATTTAATCTCTAAACAATTATCTGATTATAAATACATACATATACATTCGCGTGTAGATTAAATTACTAACCAACAGTCAATTTTGCGTTAAATGTTATACTCCAGTTGAATATTTGATGTATTTATCCCCTATTCTCCTTGATTTGATTGGGAAAATTTTTGATTATAATTAAATTTTTTCACGTTTAAATCTTTCCTCCTTTTAGTTTTTAATGTACACAAGCTTTACACAGTAATAATAAATTTTATAATGATGAAGACAGCTCGACAGTCACGCATACTAGGCATATGTCATTTGTCAAAAAAAATGAAAGAAGCAAATATGTTTACTTTGGTTGCTGATTTCTTTACCGATTTTCACTTTCTATCTGTTATTGTGATGTGATGCTTAGAAAAGAGAACATTATTAAGAAACAATGATGAGCAAAATAAACAGATCAGAAGATGACAAAATAGTTAGTCAGTTCGTTTTTAGCCCATATCAAAACTACCGGGAACCATGTAGTAGAAGGTAAATATCTAGTCATACTTTGAGACTTCTTACTGATGCACACTTACGACCCCAAATGAGATGGAACTAAGGGCGTTTAACCTTCCCGACCAGGAAAACATACTTAACCAGACAGGTCACAAGTCAATGATTCACAATTTAATTTTTCTTCAATTTGAAACACGGTGCGATCATCATTTAATGTCATTAGTGAGTGAGTATCTCGATTTCGACTTCGTTGGACTTCATCATCAAAAATTTGAGAATCTAGCCTAAAGCCAAATCACTCAGTCAATATTTGAATAAAAGAAATTTGTCCATATTCACTGTATTTCTTCACTTAACAAATGCGCATAAGCAAAGTATAGAATGATACTTTTAGTTTGTAACCCTAATTGAATATAAACATGACACACAAAGTATGATGTTAAAAAATATGCGTCTAACAATTAAAACAATATATTGTGCGATGAAAGGAAGTTTCCGAGTATCTTCTTAATTTACAGCACTCACTAACAGGGAATAATTTTAATGAAAACCTAATCGCCTGTTTAGTATTCCTCTGTCAGATAATTTTATGAATACGAGTTTTTCTGCTTACTACTTCTACAAATCACTTGGCTACTTAAATCTTAGCAAGTAGTTAATACATACAAGACTAATAACTGAATATCAAGACTTCGTTAGGCACAAAATTAAATAGTTTGATGAATGAACAATCTTCCTCAGTAAATTCAGAATACCTTTCAACCAATTCAATGCAGTGATGTAAATCGTCCTTCCAATACAGGTGCTTCTTTCAAGTGTAGATAGACGTACGTGTTGTTGTGGTAATACTGAAATATTATCACTGAATTACGAGAGATAATTAGACTGTCCTGTGAACAACAATCGTTACCTACTACACCAAGTCACTACAATCGTCACCACTGCAAAATTAACCAAAGTAAAATTTCTATAAGCCACCTTCTAGAGTAATTGCAAAAGTATGCGTGTTGACTAGTCAGTAAAGTGGTCTAGATAGATAGCAAAATAAATTTGGGAAGTGCCGCTTCAAAGTGACGAGCCCACTTGTCAGGGATAGTTTATTCGAGAAGTCTCAACCCACTTAGAACTCCATACAACACAAATTGTAAGAATAGTAGTGATGGAGAAGGCTTAAAACTCAGGTGGATGTTTTGTTATGACCTATAGAATAGCTGTAATTAGGAAACATTCATTGTTGCTCTGGTCATTATTAGTATCTACTTCACGTGAAAGTGAGCTTTCCCTATTATTTATGACGAATGAGGATTTCCTAGACAACCCTCCAGAAATATACTTCTCGTAACAGCATCGAACTGGTAATGCAACTAATAAAACCGACGATTTTGACTTTATTGGTCCCTACTTTTTGAACTTTGGAATGACTAATTCCTCTTAAAAATTTTCATTGCGTAAGGACCTGTCAAGAACATGTTGAATACTGATTGCGTAATTGGTAGTATTTAACCTCATCTTACTATGAATGAGTCTAAGGAGACAAAGGAAAATTAACTTCGTTAATTTCAACAATATAAGTGTAATCTAAGTTACAGTCGCCATGGATTTTTCGAAATGGGTAGTATCTAGTGTTAGGTAGTATATATTTCTAAGTTAGCTTGTCTTACTTCTTTGTACTTGCTAATGAGTTTAGAATGATATATATATATATATATATATATATATATATATATATATATATATGCGCAGTAAGTGCAGTCGGATGCGTCGACAATTTCACTTATCTTGGAAGTTTAATCAACCTTAATGAGTTGGTGTCTGACGAAATCTCTGCACGGATTCAAAAAGCTCGTTTGGCTTTTGCCAACTTACATTACCTATGGCGAAGGCGAGATATCCGTCTATCAATAAAAGGACGAGTATACTGCGTGGCAGTTCGTTCTGTTCTACTTCACGGCTGCGAAGAGTAGAGGATACTCGTAAGTTACTATTAATTGATCACAGATGTCTTAGAAATATTGCTCGCATCTGCTGGGATCATCAGGTAAGTAATAATGAGGTTAGACACAGGGTACTAGGGAATGATGGTAAATCAGTTAATGAGATTGGGAATCTTCATCGACCGAGATGGTTGGGCCACGTATTACGTATGCCTTAACACCGATTACCACGATGCGCAATGCTGACTAGTTTCGGAGATGAATGGTAGGAAGTTAGGGGCGGCCAAACCAAAACGTGGCATCAGTGCCTGAAGTCACTAACTCCTGGTCTGAGCCATGTTGGTAGATGCAGACTACTTGGTTGGGGTTCGTGCGACTATCGTAATCAACGGTTGAAGAATCTTGGTGACATGGCTCAGAATCGATCACAATGGCGTAGGTGCATACTCTATGCCTTCCGTGAAGCCGGGAGATAAAGATTACTTTACACCTTTCTTTCTATGAACTGATTCCTCACTGTATCATATTTCTAAATGCCATATTTTTTATATATACTACTACCATTGAAGTAACTGCTATGAATTCGGTATTCATCTTGTTGTGCTAATGAAGCACGGCAACTTGCACCGATGCATATATGTGCCTGGTCCTAAGTTGTAGACGACTGACTGATATATACGTACAAAAAACAAGAGAAACTAGGACAAAGCCAAAAGCTCTATTTTATTCTAAATCAATGTACCTAGGAATAACCAGCTGTCTTGAATTCGTTAACAATCTAACATATGAGAAAAGTTGATATTAGTTGTTTAAATATGAAATTAGTAGTGCATAGATCCTGTGAATTAAATCATTTACAAACCACATGAACAAAATGATACTTCATCGATACACATAATCTGCTTTTAGGTTTTCTGAGATTTCGACTTCCCATCTATCACCATTTTGCAGCAATTTTTCTTTATTATATAGTAATTCTTCATGTGTTTCAGTAGAATATTCGAAGTTCGGTCCCTGAAATTCAGAAGAGAAAACAAACTAGAAAATTAGTTATCTTAGTTGGGAATCAATCGAAAGTAACAACGCCATCCATAGACCACAAAAGAGTTTGGGAAGTGGGAGGTTAGAAAAATTAAGCTTCCAACTCATTTTAAAAGGTAGTGAATTTTCTCGTGACATCGATTTTCTTCGAGATATCGAAGAGCCTCTATGCCTAAGCTGTAGTCTGGTGGTTTATACAACTTATTTATCTATCTATCAGAGAAGTGTGCTTAGAACTGTTCCATCTTTAACACACGAACAGTTGTTAAGATTACAGTTAAATTGACATAACCTGTCAAAAAATCATATCCTTCTAGTAAAAATCCATTCATTTTACAGAGGAAGTTAGACTGAACAGAGTAATAGCTTTCACAGTAACGCATTAGTCTAACTTGCTACATTTGATAAAATAAATGCAAGACTATAAAACACCTAAACTCGTGTTTTAGACTTGCAATTCCTGAAATCTAAAACTACTCATTTTTGACACCCCATCGAGCTTAAAGAGGAATTGTATTTTTAAAAATCATATCTTTTAATATTAAAACTACTGTTTTAGACTTCACAATACAGTTATGCTGATGTAATGATGAAATTAAAATGTGCAAATGAACCATAAGATTTATAACTACTGAGGCTTGTCTAATTACTTTTTCTTGTTAGACTTTTCTACCTAATGATTTAAACTAACCGACCAACTTTAAAGTAACAAGACAAAACAATCTGTGGAATGAAGATACTGACGAACCAAATCTCGAATTTCTGCTGATGCATTTAAAGTGGGTGAAAACTTATGAGTAAGGATTTTTAATTCAGCCAGTCAGTCAGCTACAACGTAGGACCAGGCACATATGTGCATCGGTCCAGGTTGCCATACCGCATCAGCACAGCAAGATGAACACCGGATTCATAGCAGTGGTTAGGTCAAAGGTGGTAATATATAAGAGAAAGATTGCATATAGAGATATAGTACAAGAAGAAAGAATTGGTTCGTAGAAAGAAAGATATGAAGTGGTTTTATTTTTGAGATCAAGGATATGACAGATGGATGCGGTTCACTTGGTATCTAAGTTGAATGTGAAACTGACAATAGCACTTTAGTCACCTGCCAAACGAATGTGAAATAAAGATGTAACAAATAGGATCATAAGTGGATAATTGACGAAGTCAGAAAAGGTGAAAATGAATGTGTGATGTAATCTGCACGAGTCTAGTGGCCGATTCGCAGGGTCAAAAGTTCTATTAAACTAGCCATACGTTGTTTTGTGTGTAAATTTCCTAATGCTTTAAAATTACCAAAGGGTAGGGTGGAAATTCCATCATTCCGAGTAATACACTAGTAAGTGTTCATATGCCGCCCGAGACGTTATGGATATAGCTCTTGAAAGGGCTACATCATGTTGTTGAACTCAAAATTTGGATATGAACACGACGCTTTGAAAAAACCAGGGCTTACTAAACGAACAGTAAAATTCAGCAAAAGTTTTGCTAGATCAGCCACTGAATAAACACATTTCCCTCATTATGAAAGTCAACTCACAAGGGAGATTCCACAAGTCAACTATTAGTTCTTCACTTAAAACCTTCACAAAGTATTACCAATTATTTCCTAGTAGATTTCGATTTTGATGTTGTGAAATGAACAGTAATAGTATCAACTGAAAGTTACGTTAATGAAAGCTCGGTATGCAGCCTAGAAAATTAACCAAATGATCTTTATTACTACGAGTATAGTAAACACTTTAGAAGAACAAATTGGTCACCTCTACGATGGCGTCTACTGGACACGCTTCCTGGCAAAATCCGCAGTAAATGCACTTGGTCATATCAATATCATATCTAGTTGTCCTTCTACTCCCATCAGCTCTTGGCTCAGCTTCAATAGTGATTGCTTGAGCTGGACATATAGCTTCGCAAAGTTTGCAAGCGATACACCGTTCTTCACCACTAGGGTACCTACGTAAAGCATGCTCGCCACGAAATCTTGGACTGAGAGGACCCTTCTCGAAAGGGTAGTTTAAAGTTGCAGGCTCCTTAAACACCATACCAAGGGTTAACCGTAGACCTGTGATAATCAATACCGTTTATCAGTAAATTGAGTACCTCTCAATATATCTGCTACTATAAGCCATCTCGTCACATTCTCAAAACCACTTTTAATAGTATCCTCTTTATGAGGATCAACAACTAGTTTATATTTTGAATTGTAGTGTCCCAAATGCAGCTGTGCAGCTGAAACCTCAACTAGGGGAGAAAGATTGAAAACACATCTCCGGATAAACAAGGTCATTAGTTCTCCACAAATAGCCGCCTGAATGTCAAATATCCAGTTTGAGTCCAATATCCAATACCTTTGTCATGTGATTGTATAAACCCATTGATTGTTTTGCACTTGCTTCTTATGATCTCGGTACGGTTCCAGTAGGTGATGACGCAACCAATTGACTGCACTAACCCTTACCGGTGTTGTAGTTATTTGTGGATTTGTATATCTTGTAGTTGAGTGCGTTTGTTTCATGGCAATAGGGCTTCTGGATACCAGCAGTCAACACATTACCAGTAAGAAGGTTGTTTGATTTTAATGTGAAAATAATAAAGTGACAATTCAATTGCCAGAAGAATTTAACTGTTACAACAATAATAAATAAGTTGATTAGTTGATGTGTAAGAAGATGGGACTGAAGGAATAAGAGGGGAAACTGAGATGATAAGCAGTAGTTGCTGGTGTGCGTTAGTGATAGCCGTGGTAATTTATGAGACGAAAATCAGAAAGCTAGTCCAAAATGGATTTGGTAATCCATGAGTAAGTGTTTGTCAGGTCTTCTTGTGAAGCTGTCCACTGAAGGGGTTGAATTCACTTCGGCCGGTAAAGCGTTTTAAATGGCGGCATCTCGTAATGCGGAAAGTAAATGTATGCACGTTTTTTGGCTCTTTCACGTAAGATCTTTGGAGGGTTGCCTTCAGGAGCGTGGTGATGATATTTTGGCAATATCCTCGTATTGAGTAGGCTAGGTGAAACTAATTCCTAGTGTTGAGATCTTCTAACTCGCCTGCACTCTATTTTCTTCGCTACGAACCGCATGTTCACCAGGTATTCCAGTATCAGGATAAAAGTGGGTCCGTGAAACCCATCTTTGCAACTTTCATTATGGGAAGTACATGAGGTGTTGTTGAAGGCTTTTGTGAAGTCGCGGAATGTTACATGAACTGGTACCTTATGGATCCATCAGGTTGTCAAGCTTTCCCATGCTACAAGCGAATTGGATGCCCACGACCTGTCCTTCCTGAACTCACGTTGGGCTTGGTGGAGGATGTTTTTTACCCATGTATTCCCACATTTGTCCACTAGCTAGTCCTTCCATCACCTCTGACAGTGAGGTTAGTCTGCGACAGACTAGGTGTTTTCTATCGCTCGTTTTGACGATTGGAGGAAGAGTGACCTGTTTACTTTCACTTTGCAGTCGGTGAGAATCTAATAAGTGCCTGAATGGGTTGTGCACCTGTGCACTGTTGACTTTTGAGCACTGTTTCAGGATTATAGGTCGGATTTTGTCACATGCTGTTGACCCCTCGGGTCACAGGGATTTGATTCTTTTTTAACACTAACCCGGAAGTCGGCTGGGTATCTTCAGGACCCTTAACTAGCACTATGGTAGAGAGGTGTGTCACACTTTCAGGATCCTGATTTAGTCGGTCTGCCATTTTTAATTAGTGAAATTCTTACTCTTTGGCACTTTTGGAGTACACATTCCCTGGTTTTCAAGCTATCTCCTGGTCATGAATGTGTGGAGATATTTGGAATTAACTTGCACTTAGACTGATAGCTTGACCTGAAAACATATCCTGTTGCTTTTAACTTTGATATTCCATGTTTCTCAATGCCAGGTAAGAGAAGCGATCAGATTCTGCCAATGAAACTTTCTAAATGTGCCAGGCTCTCTGCTTGAACTGTAGCGAGCGTTCTGTGCTTCGCCTGATCCAAAATCTTCGCTTTCCGGGTGTGCGCTTACCATAAGGTACATAGTCTTGGATACTGTGCTGAATAATATCCCTTACTGCCCCTTACAGGTCACCTACTGTTAGCCTTCACCACTCTCGTAGCCATGGGGCGTGTTGAAGATGCACCCTTTTCGTCATATACTGTGCTCTGGCGTAACTAAGGTAGAAGACATTCTCGTTCCATCGAGGTATCTTGTTTGTGGCTATGTTAAACATGACCGCACCACAGTCACTAATTCCTCTTGGTGCGTGGACATGGACATCCTCAACCAGAAGCTGATCACTTATCAGTAAGTAATCTAAGTTTGAGTGTTTTCTGTCGCTGTCCCATTTCGTGCCGCCACGCACATGATGTCAGTCCTGAACGTCTAATGGCTATGGAAAGCCACTTATGGAACCACTTTATAGGGGTTGTATCCTCGTAGCTGAGCCTTAGGGATGGAATGTTATTATTATTATTCACAAACATCTTATGGGTACATAAGTGTTGTAGAGAAACTATTTCGGGTTTCCTCAACAATGCAATAATATACAAGTTTAAATAATGTTAGCATTATATTTGCATTATATTTGAAAAAGGGAGTAATAATGATAGAACAATAATAATAAATCAGGTTCTGTGTAATTGAGAAGGATATTGAATTGAGTTTAAAGAAGGAAAGGAAGAAAATAAGGGAATTCAAATAAAGGAAACGTGAAATATGCAAATAGTTTAAAAGGAGGGTTAATGAACACAGAACAAGAATAAACGACTATGTATGTGTCGTATCAAAAATAAAATAGAAAATGATTATGAAAAAATGACTTATTATTGCAATAAGATATGACGCTAGAATAAATGTTTGTCCAGTCATGGTCTGGATTGATGTTATGAAAGTTTTATTTAAGTGAAAAGGATAATGAAATATCAATATGTATGAGTCATATATACATAGTGAAGATGAAACGAGTCTGATGAGTTAATTTACGTGTAACACAAGTTATTGTCTTAATTACAAACTTCGTAAACTTAAGAATAATATTTATTTAGATAGAAAAAAAATGAACACCTAGCGAAGGGGTTCAACTATGATAATAATAATAATTGTGTAATGAATATCGACCTCTGAAGTAAACTAGCAATTTGAAAAAAATAAAATGAGATAAAAATCCTTTACTGCGCTCGGATAAATACATATAGATTTATGTAATATATATATATATATATATATAGTTGAAGATAAAATGAATCTGAGAAGTTAATTTATTTATGTGTACCTTGAGGTAATTTGTTTTTAGTTATAGACTTTGGATGTTTAGGAACAATACATGTTTAGAAGGGTGAGAAGAGATTAATAGAATACCTAATGTGTCGAGGTACTAATAATGATATCAGTAACAGTAATAATTATAGATACGAACATGAGCGGACTTCATATATTAAGATGAACAGAAATAGAATAAAAAAGACGTGAAAAGTTTCAAAGGACACATTGTGCTTTTTAATCAATTAGATGGATAACGGACCTTGTTTGTATAGATAATTATTAAACACATTGATATTCAAAAAGTGACAAAATCCACTTTTGGAAAGAAAATCATCAAGGACACTTTTGAACCGGGTTGTAGTTTCGCTGCAACAGAGGTTCACTGGCAATCTGTTCCATGTAGTTGAGTAGCGAATAACGACAAAATTCTGGCTTGCGTTTCTATGGGTTCCTGGAATCGCTAGTCGTTTGTAACCTCCAGCTAGTAGTATTTGGGTAAACTCTAGCTGAGGCAGCTTTAGTATCTCCTGTATTATCTTTCGTTATCGGGTGTTAGAACCCGTGTGCAGCCGGTATAATCCTCCATTCAAGTACTTTGTACCGCCTAAATTTAAGCAACACCAGCATTTTTCTTTCTCCCCAGTTAATTCGGTACTGTGTGTAACTAAGGCTTTGAAGTGACTGTTAATGTATTCCCCCACCCCACCTTCTGTCTATGTACCCTATCGTATCTGCAAAGTGTCACGTCTTGCAAGCCCACTTCTGTAGTGGTATCGGTTCCTAAGTACACGATCTTTAAAGCTGAACATAGAATTACTGAGGAGGTCCACTTTCAACATGTAACAATGTTAGAGAGATAAGAATGATGAACGCGTGAACATTGATTCATCATTTAAATGACATGACTCAGCCTTGCATGAGTGGTCATTCCTGTCTAACTTATCGCTTTTATTAATATTAAATATGTTGTTCTATCTCCAGCCCAAATGTGTTCTTTGCAAACGCCTAACGCTATATCACGGTACGATACGACATTCAGAATAGGCAATTATGTGACTTCCACGTAAAATTATATAGATTAGATAGTCACATGACAAATAAGCAATTTTGGGATTAAGTCTATTATTAGAGAAGTAGGAACAACAAGATAAACCATAATTCTGCACTTCTTCATCTATGACGTCGGGTGACAGCTGTGTTTCAGTGAGGACTATGATATCCAGGTCTAACATAAAGCATATGTTTCTGATTTTCTCCAGCCTGCTTCTTGGCAGTCATAGGTTGCTATAGAGGCACTTGATGGTTTGTTTCATCATCTGATGCTGTTCTACAGTAACATCGGTCTTCTGTTTTGTAAGTAGCTTGTCTCTGTTCTCAACCATGAGTTGTGCCAAGGTGTGTCTTTTGGACTTTCTTGTTGTTTTGCCTATCTGGGTAGGCCTTCACAACATCCGATGTGACTGGAGGTGTCGATGTTCTTAGCTGTACTTTAATAAGGTCCTGCATTTCGACTTCAATTTCACCGCATGATGTTGTCGACGGGCTCACCAATTTTGTTGCCCGAGATATGACTCTAATTAGACCGTATTAATGATTACTGTCGAAATATATATATATATATATATATCGTCAATCCTCGCATAATATCATCGACTTAAATGGCGATGGTGTTTAATGGAATTAAATAAGTCCAATACGACAACGGGTTTCGATTATGTATATTTCAGGCATTCATTGGTTTCAACAGGCAATCAAGGAGACGAAATAAAGAAGGAAGAGCGAAGCGGATTGGAGAAGCGAGGAGAACTAAGCAAAATGACGCGCAGTGGAGGTGGCGTGTAAGCCAACTCCATTTAACCAAGCGTTAATCAATATTTACAATTGCACAAAAATAAGCTTCATTTATGTGGTGAGCAGGGTACGATGTATACACATACACTCATATCAAAACGCTAAGGGTTGATAAGTAAATAATTATCAAGGTCAAATGTGGCTGAAGAAGAACGGGTAAACTAACCTGTCCAGGAGCTAGAATAAGTTATGTGGGCTTACCATAGTAACCGACACCAAAGTACAAGGCCTGAAGAGCCTTAGCGGAGTCTTTTATTATAATTATTATCAGCTTTATTCAATATTATATTTTTGGTACAATATAGAATTCTCAGCGTAAAGTATTTCAATAAGTTTCCGTTTCTTTCTTCTTCGTCGGTCCTGGCGATAAATATTGAGCGATCGCCAGTTAG